CTTTATACCATCTGGCTTTTTCAACCCTCACTCACTCGCCACTGAGGAAGGACTAGTGTTGTCCGAAAGCTCTGGTTCTATTTCTGGCTGTTTACTTACGTTTACTTTTTAGCTGTTGCTTATCATTTTTGTATCTCTGCCGAGATCCAGCCATTGTTTCCCACAACATTGTTGTTTTAGGGATGAATTATTTTCCCGTCTCAAAAATTTCGCCATCTCGGAGATTCTCAGGAAGGGAATTGTCTTTTCTTTCGTTGAGAGGTAAGCAATTTCATTAATTTTGCAATAAATACAATCAGGATGTGTGAAGCTGTAAAATATTCCCAGCGTAAAATATGGGCACAGAAATCCGTCGCCGCAATTTGAAAATATGAGCCGATTTCCACGGATATTTTTGCAGAAAATTGAGGCCTTCATAGTAGGAACACAAATATTTACGATTCTGCGCATTTATTTTTCTAGGGGTTTTCCCATGCAATTAGAATTTTGTTTGTATCCTCCACAAAAAGAAATACATTTTGAAGTTAGTATTCATTAAGAAATTCCCTCATGCCTGCAAGTACATTCTGTTGTATTTTTATCTGGCCAATCTTGTAGATCCCAAAAGAAACTAAGATATACATTGCAAATGTGTTCTTTCAGATTCAATTTTTCACCCAGCTGAACACCCAGATCTCTGACTGAACAAGAAGCAGCGATGTGTGTACCACCAATGTTGACAGATGTTTCGATTAAACAAATTAGTTACAGTTGATTAAGAAGTTACAGTTGCACTGGAAACCTTAAACAGACCATTGATGGCCACAACAAAGCAACCATAAACAAGAAAACAAATCTGCAAACCAACAAAGGATGCAACTGCAGGAAGCCCGAAGAATGGCCAATGTCTGGCCACTGCCTCAAAGAATGTGTTATCTACCAGGCAACGGTTACAACTAATAACAAACCAAACCAAACATAAGTAGGACTCACAGAAAACGCATTTAAGACAAGATACAATAACCACAAATCCAAGAGATTTTTAACACAGAACTAAGCAAGTACACATGGAAACTAAAAGAAAAAAATATGGAATTTAATATTAAATGGAACATTCTCAAACAAGCTAAACCATATAACCCATCATCAAAAAGATGCAACCTGTGCATATGGGAAAAATATTTTATAATTTGCAAACCGGAAATAGCTACACTAAATAAACGTAATGAACTCGTTTCAGTATGCAGGCATGCCAACAAATTTCTTCTAAGAAATTTTATTTTATTTTAACCCCCTCCTAGCATGCAAACATCTTTCCCATTTTATGTTGCTACTTAACTTATGTTTATCACTTTAATCCCTTTCATTGTTTATCAATCCTTAATCTGACCGAACTAATTGAACCCTTTGTTACCGCTCTGGCTTTCTGCGCATGCTCAGCTTATCTCAATCAATTGTATTTCTATGTTTTTTAGTCATTAGGCAATTTTATCTGAAGAGTGTCACACCATGTGTATGGTAATCAAAGCTACTGTTGAACTTCGCTTTTTATTTATTTATATCCGCTCTGGTCTACCATTGAGCACTCTGCTTGTAATAATTGCGATAGTTTATATATATATATATTTTAAATATGCATTTTAATATGTGTTTTACTTCAAATAACTTTTATCTGTAAATTAATTCTAAGAAAGTATTATCGAGTTATAAAATATTTTAATAATGAATTCGATTTTAATTTTTGGTTGATGAACTTTCACCCCCTGTGATTCAGTTGGTAAGAGATGTGGGCATAATGTTACCCCTACCCCATATCAATCTTAATGCATGACATGGACACACCTATACAGTACTCCGTTAGTTCATACTTACTAGTTAATTAGGTATCACAATTGAGAAAATATATTTATTTAATAGTTAATAATAATAATAGAGCTGCCACCTCTAAGGTACATTGCCGGTTTTCAGCATCATAACTACTATTTAAAGCAAGTTTTTTATTCGTATGAAAATTTAATAGTGAATGCATAATATAGACACGCCCACATATTTTCGGAGCTATCTGGAGCTAAGATGTTAGAATAATATAATGCATGTATTTCAGTATATAATTTACTTCAGCTAACTTTTATCAATTTTAATTCAATTTTAAAGGGATACAAAATGTATTACCACAAGTTCATATTTTGAGTGATATTCAGTGTTGATCTTTGGTTGATGACCTTTTGAACACATGTGATATAATTAACAATGTAATTACATTGTCCTTTATACCAAATGATAGGAAATGTATTATTCTACACTTTGATATTACAAACAAAAAAATATATTCAGTTGGTAAAAAGTTGTGGGCATACATGTTATTGTTACCCCCCATCCCATATTAATCAACCAAATTAAAATGCTGTACAAAAACAGGTACCTATCGTTAATGTTGGTTTACAGGCACTGGCAACCAGAAATCGCTTGACTAACAAGGCATTTTTTAAAGCTTAGACATAAAGGTAACTAAAAAAAATGATGACAGGTATAAAGCAGGGGGTGCACCATTTTAGTTCCTGGCCCCTTGACTATAAAATGGATAATATTAAAGCAAAACATTAACCTGAGGGTGCTGATTGTACCGATATTGGTGTTCCCCAATCTCCACTAATTTCTGCGTTATTAACAACTCTAGAGTCGACGTGATAAAAAACACATCCTGGTGATAATTCTGATATCTTGACTTCTGTTTGCAAACCGTCCGTTGTGTTGAGGATGTCCTGTTTATTTCCATCTTTGCTTTGGTATCGCACTTGATATCGAAGTATATCATCGCACTGGATTAGCTCTGAAGCATTTGATACAGGCTTTACGTAAAAAGATACAAAAAGCTCAAAAACTGTCATTAATATCTTAATTTAAATTTATTTAATGCTCAATAAATCACATTTACCTTGTTTTGATTAATTGTGAGAGCACGCCAAGATCAAAACTTGGGGTTGTAAATTAAATATGCTTACTCACCTTCAATGTTAAGATAATATCATTACCATCAACTGTTTCCAATACTATTTCTGGATTAATTAAAGGCTCTTTAAGAAAAGAAACAATTATTGTAATTTTAATTATCAAGGCTTTAACCAAACTGTATTTATGGTAGCACAACAACGTGTAAGTTTATGCAATAGCTATAGGCTACATGCGTTTATAGCTATGAAATGTAAACATGAACAACATTTATACATTATTACACATTACTCGGACTATCATGTTTTCTACAACATGTACACGATCATTGTGAGATACTAGAACTCAGCTGCATATATCACCATTTTCACACGTACATACTGTAGTCCCAGTAGCGGCAGTAACTTTGTGTTCAACCTAGCTGTATCATTAGTTAAAACTTCAATTAGCCGTTTTTATTAATATTCAAAATATATATAGAATGACATTATATTTTAATATGCATATCTTTACTTTCCAAGCACGGAAAGTGACCAAAGTTCATGGCAGATTGCCTGTGCAAAAAAATAAGAAATAATCATTAATAATCAATAATAAACGGGAAAAAATTAAAACAAAAACAATGGCTTTTCTGCTAGTTCTGGAAAACCAATAATTATAAGATCAGCAAATAATTGGGCTTACTAGTGCATATAGTCTCTGCTGATCCATGTTCACTAGGTGGTCCATCGGTTTCTACGCCGCCAACTAATCTTGAGTGTTGTGTGTAGAATTTAACAGTCGTGTGTAGTGTAGGCCTAAGATTGTCGATGATATATACACCATTTTCATTATTATTAACTGTAGTGAACGTACTTGTCTGCGATGTTTTATACCATAGCTTACATCCTGTAATATTCCCTGTTCCGAAGTCTTGAACTGGATCCCAGCCGCAGGCGGCAATCTTTAGGGTGGTTGCTGTTTGATTCAATAGTGTTGGTGGTTTGGAGCTGTAAGGTAGTGCTAATAACAATAACACTCATTATAAATATACATTTTAAATATAATTAGGGTGCAAGGGGATTTTTTTTTTTTTTGGGAGGGGGGAACCCGGCCCACCCCCTCCTTTAGGAAGGTTAAAAAAAAAAAAGAAGAAAGAAAGAAAGAAAAAGAAACAAATGATCGCCCAAAACACCTCAGAGGTTATTTTCGGGCGTCTAGAACACAAAAAGTTCGCGGGGAATGCACTGGACCCCCCCCCTCTTGCCTCGATCTGCTCCACTTTCGGCCCCCACTTTTAGACATATCTGGATCCGCCCCTGGGGTGGCGAAAGATACATTGAATGATTTATTTTTAGGTATAACATGAGGCTTCATAAAAAAGAATATATATTGGTTAATCTTGGAAATTCTATTGCAATTATACATAATTGAGATTTAAGCTCGATTTAACACAAGTAAATGTAAATTTGAAGACGTATATCGTTACCTATGCTGCAGTCCCCTCCAGCCCATGCTTCGTGGCATCCATTGTCACAGCTTCCATTACGATTACAATCAGCTGAGTCTTTGCAATGACATGGATAGTTACACAACACACCAAAGAAACCAGATGGACAGGACAGGCCTGGCAGTAATTCTACAACAAAATGCGACATCATTGTTATCTTTAAATGTTGAGTCAAAAGGTATTAGTTAAGTCTAAATTAACTTTTTAACTATTACCATTAATGTTCACATGTACTCGTATTTTGAATTATTTGACATGTAGATTAAAATATGCTCAATTCCTTTTAAAATCGGCCCTAACAAACTAAAAAAATAACAGTTTTAAATTACACGACTATAAACAAATATTTGTTTAGAATCATTCATTATTCTTTCATCATGTTTAAACAGGATTTTTTCTGACCCTCTCCCATGAAAGAAATATTTAAAGAAATATGTAACATAAGACCATATTTTTTTCTTTTTCATGAAAGAGTACATATGACTAGACTGTGGTCAACCTCTCCTCCCTCAAAGCGTATGTTTTTACTCTGTAGAAAGGATGTAATCATGTGTATTTCCTTAGCGTCCCCTTCATTTTAGGGCCGATTAGGTATTTTTTATTGAAAATCAACAATTTGCACACAATTACTAAATGAATCGTAAGCATAATAGACAGTCATTACACATTCATTTTGTTATATATTTAACTTTTTCGCTCCCTAAATCCTCAGAATCCTCCACTTTGTTTACAAGACATCATGTTTCTTTTCCATTTGTTAAAAGGGCTCCTGAATATCAGCGTGCCTGCTTGGTAAACTGGGTTACCCTCTATTAAAAAACAAATCTTTCAAGTCCTTACAATTAATCATTGGTGGTCGGAACAAGTGAAATTTTAATGTAAACCTGGGCGTACGTTTTTAACCATATGTAAATTAAGTACTCTAAATAGGAATAAGGATATGCTTATTGTAATACAGTAGGCTATTGACTTTTCAATTGAATTAAGTTTATTTTGGATACAAGGTACAGTATAATTAAAATATTTAATTACCTTTTTTGCCTATATGTAGATTAGTATTAGTAAGATTAGTAGATTAGTAAGAATAATAAAATAAGCATTGTTTTTACGTAATCATTACTATATTTTATACAAAATAAATATACTATTACTCATAAAATTTGAAACTAAAATCTGAATATTACCTTGGCACGCTGGTCCTGTGTAATTATTCGAACAAGATGACCCGGATGCACAATTCCCTGTCTTTCTGTCACATTCACCTGAATCGCAATGACATACTTGACGGCAATCTGCTCCATAGTGACTGTTAGCACATGCTGTGGATTAGTACATTTTGGGAAAATCACATTGTTAGTCGATTAGTACCATACATTTAATCTTAATAATAATAATAATTCTGGATTTATATAGCGCCTCACATTGACACATAAATAAATAAATGCAAAAGTAACAAAAAAAAAATTATTATCAAATGAACATACGATACGAGCGACAGTCTTTATTTAACTTTCAATTAAAATATGCAGAGTAGAACCTTATTGTTATTACTTGTTTGTGACCAGGGCCTGTGCAAAGCATTTTTATATAATTGTCTTCCTCTATTCATGAGTTTTGAATTCCATTGTGCTTATTTTTGGATTGATTCATCACACTTTTGCATTTTATAGTTCGAAAACGAAAATAAAATAAAGCCTGTATATGCATTATGCAATAATATACCGTAATATTGACATCCTTTATAAACAAAAAGAACAAAACAGTGGCCAAAAACATCTCGAACCTGTATTGCAATCGTTGCCTCCGTATCCGTCGATGCAGGTGCATCCGAATGGATCAGGTGGACAAAAAAGCTTTCCTTTACAAGCTTCATCTTTTCCAGTCGAACAAACAACATCACAATTACGACCCCAGTTGTTGCTTCCACAAGCTAAACAAACAAAAAGAAAGTATAAACTGTAAACACAGAAACATAACATACTTTATGAAGAAAACACTACAATTTGAGAATGACAACTTTATTTTTAATAGGAAGATTTATTTGTTACATTATTTTAGGATTTCTTATATATTTACTATTGAAATATATACATATTTAAAAACATGTAAATGTAATTTAATGTAGGCTTACATGTTTGGCAGTATTCTCCTTTGAAGCCAGCGGGGCAAATACAAACACCGGTCTTGTCATCACAAACTCCGCCATTATAACACACTTGACAATCCATCTCGCATTGAGGGGGACTCCATTTTGGCAGCGGGCAATCTAAGTTAAAAATGAATTTTGAAATATTTACGGGGGCCTGGGCCAACTGGGTTTACCTTGAATCCACCACTGCATGGGGGAATCCCTTAACGCTCAGGTGACTTAGGGTTTTAGAACAAATTATTGTAATAGAATTTCTATAAAAAGATAAACGAACACAATCATGAAAGAGATGACTTGATGGTTGTTATACAAGATACTCAGACACACGTCTGGAATATCAACTATAAACATATCTCAAATAAAAACTTGTATAGAGATGCTCCCCCTGTATCAAGAACTTTGAGGGAACGAAGGTTAGCATTTGCTGGACATTGCTACAGAAGTAAAAAAAATAAGCAAGGACAGCCCCAACTACATACATTGAGCACTTAGAAAAGGATCTAAACAGACAGTGGCAGTAGATTCCACAAGTGACAACTTATGGAAAACAGAGATTTGTGGAGAAACACTCACAAAAATGTTATAACTTTGCTCATCATTAATCGAGTGTGCCCGATTGTAATCCTGGAATATTTGCCCAGATTACAGTATAAGTTCAATGATTTTATTTAAAAAAAAACAATTTCGTTGATCAATTAATTGCATAACCTGCACTTTTTATTATTTAAAAACTGTATTAAACAACTGTTGAATTAATCAGCGATTGCGTAAAACAACAATTTTAATACTACTAAATGATCTGACCATTACTGATCTTTAGTTTTTTTCTACAGATTGAAGTACACACTCTTAATATTCAGGCACAAGTCAATTTGAGATGTTAACAATATTGCATTCAATAGTAAATATTAGTCTATTGGTACATTGTAGTAATGCCCCTACATTGTGTGTTATCATCAATTGATCCAAAAGATGAAGATTTACATACCCTTTTCTTCAACTACTGTATTGTAAGTATTGGAAGTAATACAAGGCACAAGGCAATTTGAGACGTTATAAGCATTGCATTCAATAGTAAATATAAGTATACTGGTACACTGTATTAATACCCCTACACAATTGTCTGTTATCATCAATCAGGTCCAAGTTGAAGATTTACATGCCCATTTATCAACTCTTTTAAGTATTATTAAGTAATTTAACATTTATTGTTGGTTTTTGGCCAGGCATTTATTGGCTGATTATCAACACCAATACAGTAATTTACATTATTTGGAAATGAACATGCTCTAATTTTAGTTAAAATTTGTTAGTTGTTTGAGTGCAAAAGTGAAGAACTGACATCAAATAAATATACTTCAAGTACTCTAAAAATGGATGTTATGATAATGTCTCAATGGCTAATGCAGCCATACCGTAAAACCTCAAATTAAAGCCCTGTTCAATTTTGTTAAATGTCATTCTTTGCACAATAGGATGCCAATGCAATTGCCTCAGCACAGGGGTAATGTGAATTATGACTTGGTGGATCAGTCTTGTATATGTCATTTGCTGGCAAGCCTAAAAGAAGAGAATTTCAACAGTCCATCCTCAAGCACACAAATGCTTCTTGTATATAATTTTAATTTATATTGAATTGGCATTTATAGATGAATTTAACGTGCAGTATTTTGTATCACAATGTATTTATTTTAATGCTTAGTGATAATAATGTAGACTAGCAGCAAAAATCAAAATTAAAACAATATCACAGGCTTGACCCTTTCTATACAATTCTTTATTTTATTCTATACTACTCTATCAATAATATATAAAATGTTAACTTCTCAATTTTTTGTTGATTAAGCGCTTAGAGGCGTCCAGCATTTTGCCAAGCTATATCAAATTGAACTTTATTATTATTGATTCATGACAAGATCTTGTGATACTGTAAAATTAGAGCACATTTCAGCCCATTTTAAGCATTTTAAATTTTTTGAAGTTTTCCACTATGCGTGAGCAGTTTTCCACACGCAGCACATACTGAAAATAGAAATTACATTTTTTTTACATATTTTGGGTTCCTGACATTGTTTTCACTTCTTTTCAGTCATCTTATGGCCAATAGCAATGCCGTATGCACGCATCAAACATAGGGATCTGTGCGCGTGTTTGTGACGATTTACAGTGAAAATATGCTAAAATCAGGCCAATTTTTAATCAGGATGAAAGGTGACCCCCAATTTTTTATTACATATTCTGAAAGCACATGAGTTGTAAATATGATTTTATAGATCATAATGGCTGATTGGATATTGTGACGTCATCATATTGTCATCTAAATTTTATCTATAACGTCATTTTTGAAAATACGCATTTGAGCGTATCACACTTATCCTTCATCGACCGTCTCTCAACTTTGAGTATGTTATAGGTGAGATAATTTTCTTTCATACATGTGACTTTTTTTTACATTTTGATGACATCATCATGGTCAAAATAAATGTTTTTTCTGACCCCCCCCCCAATCTTTCTTTCCTCAAAACTTTGATGACCCCCATATCATATTAACCATTCGTCATTTCTCAATCATATTCAGTGGGCATAAACTTAATGTCAAGGTTGAATGTCATGTACCTTAATTTTCCGGTCGTGTGTCTTAACGCGTGTGTCAACTGTTATATATGCTTAAAATCATGCCTAATTTTAATCAGTTATAGCTCCTTAGGAAGAAAGGACGTGACCCCCAATTTTTATTACATATTCTGAAAGTACATGTGTTGTAGACATGATTTTATTTTTATAGATCATTATGGCTGATCGGACATTGTGACGTCATTATATTGCCATCTGAATTTCAAAAAACTAAATTTGTATTTATGACGTCATTATTTTTATACTCATTTGAGTTACCTCGCTTATTCTTGATCGATCGTCTCTCACCTGTGATATGTTATATCTGAGTCAATTCTCTTTCGGAAGTGTCCCTTCATTTTTCATTTTGATGACGTCATCATGGTCAAAATGAATGATTTTTAGACCCCTCTCATCTCTCTTTCTTCAATTATGTGAAAAATTCACGACAGAGGGTGGCAGACTGTATTTCGACGCTTATCACAGACTGATATGTACAGTAGTTCATATGAAGGGAAAATTTGTGTGGCATTACCAACCAACAGGCGTTTTTAAATTACACTTGACCAGTGGTGGACTGTCAAGGCAAGCAAGGTATGCAGTGCATACCCTGGCTAAAACAAATAAAAAAAACACAATATAGTAGTAATAATAATAATAATTCTGGATTTATATAGCGCCTCACGTTGACACAACCTCGAGGCGCTTAACAACAACAGAGAAGAAAAAAAACCCAAACTAAATGCAAATGTACCAAAAAAAATTATCAAATATTTGGTTTTAGTTTAGTTTAATTAAGTTCAAATGATTGGTTAGATTATTATCAATAAATGTTATTATTACAATGCTTTGGTAATGGGAGTCATTTCAAGGCCTGTTACTTTCCTATTCATCCCAAAGCCTTTCATTTTTCTTTCCCTTTTGCTTCTTGTCTTTCTTCCTTTTCCCTTCAAATGTTTCTGATCTTTACTTTTCACGTCCTTTCTTATGTTTCCTTATCTTATCTTTCACATTCCTTTCTTAGATTCCTTATTTCTCCTTTCATTTTCTTTCTTATAATTCGTATCTGTCTTTCATATTCATTCTTATATTTCTTATCATTTCTTTTCTTTTCCTTTCTAATGTTTCTATGTCTATCTTTCCTTTCTTTTCTCTTCTCATGTTTCCTTATCTTTCCTTTTCCTTATTCATCCTTAGTTTATCTTTCCTTTCATTTTACTTTCTTATATTTCTTATCTTTCTTTCCATTTACCTTCTTATGATTCTAAATTCATTTCTTTCCTTTCCTTTCTTATGTTCCTTATCATTCTTACTGTTATCTTTCTTATATTTCCTTATCTTTTCTTTTCCTTTCTTATGATTCCATATCGTTTCTTTCCTTTTCCTTTCTTATGTTTAACTTACCTTTCATTCAAACAAAACAAAACAAGAAAGAACAATGAATTGGCAAAAGGAATTAAGAGGCAACTTTCAAAACTTTCAGTTAAGAGATGTGTTTTTAGCAGTGATATGAATGTGAGAATTGAATCAGAATTTTTAATGTGTGAAGCTGATGTAGAACTGGGGTTATATGGTCACGGCGCTTATTCAAAGTAACAAGACGGGCAGCAGAATTTTGAATGAGCTGCAATTTGCAGATTTGAGACTTTGGTAGTCCAATAAGGAGGCTATTACAATAATCCAGCCTTGAAGTTATAAAGGCGTGAACTAGACAGAGGGTGGTCGGGTTGTCCAAATATTTCCTAATCTTTCCAATTTTACGGATCACAACATGGGAAGACCGAGTAGTAGTACAGTTTCTCTGTTTTATTTAGCATTTTTTAGTCAGAATCTTCTATATAGACCTTAATTTTGCTATAGTTCATTGGAATACCAAAGTTTTTCAATGTTTGGCCTATACTTTGGTGTCTAGGAGTCACAGTCAGTACTATCGCATCGTACACTTAGCTGCTTAGAATTTCCGCATAGCTTGTTTTCACTATCAACCAATGGAAGGGAGCTGATGGGGGTGGAAAGGTGGGGGACCGGTGATTAGGTGAGGGGGAATAACTCGCAAAATAAGGTGATTTGAGGTGACTTTTAACTACTTGAGCATGATTTGTTGGTTGGGGGGGGGGGGTGGGGACTAATGAATGGGCGAGTATTTTTTCAGGGGGCGTATGCGCCACTCGCAAATCCTAGATATGCTAATACCTAGCATACCCTGCAATTTACCCTACAGTCCGCCACTGCACTTGACAAGATTCAATTTCGTATGCCATTATAATCCACGCGCATGTTGTGACGTGCGCGTATGTGTGCGTTGTGCACGTTGTGACGTGCGCGTATGTGTGCGTTAAAATTTGAAAATTCTTAATATCAATTTTCAGATAATTTAAAGCATGTTTCAGGTCATTTTCAACATTCCAAAACTTTCGTAATTTACGCGCCGTACGCTCATTTTTACACGCACAGCACATACTGAAGCTGGAAATTATGTTTTATTACATATTTTGGGTTCCTGA